TGGCGAATGGTCGCACATATCACCATTGGTTCCCCCAATTCGGACTGGTGACTGGTGGTCTTCGTGTGAATCCCTCTTTGAACACGTACATATGAATAACTCATATGACACGGGTTGAACGTAGGATAGATGAGCCGTGTTCTTCCAGCCATGGTATGGCTGACTGGGATCACCATAAAATCAACATAGATACACACGCCTCAACCAGCTTTGGACATGTCTTGGACAAAAGCCAGGCATAAACCAGGATCATGAATCAGACTCTTTCCCATGCAGCTTTCACGGGCGCAAGCAGAAAAGCAGAGCAGGGAAACGAACTCCCATTCTCGGCGCCGCTTCCATTTGGCAAGTTTCCCCGACCGCACTCCAAAATCGCGCCTGCGCTCGTAAGTGGCGCTAGCTTCCTGGAACGCACCCCGCACAGCAAACACGCATAACTTACATCAGGATATCTTGAGCGTATCTTTAAATCTTCAGCTACATATATTAAGCGACAAAACTTAAGCGACATATCTAGAGCTTATCTTTGAATCTTCCCTTGTTGGCATATGCAAGCATAAAGCAAATCCCAAAGACACGCAAAGCTGTGAGGAGCATGACGTGCTTAGATTGACAAAGCAATTGGAGTGGCGTACTTCTTTGGGGCAAACACGTGGGGTGGAACGACTTTAAGTAGCTGGCAAGCAAAGCAAAGCAAAGCAGGACAGCAAAGAACATCTCCAAGCAGTTTCTGGACCGGTTCTCGTGCTGCCAACTACTCAGTAATAATTCCATGGGCGGATTCATAAGCCACCATTCCTGGGACGGTCTAGCCTTCAAGTTAAAATGCGCCTGTCAAATGTTGGGGGGTAAACACGGGATGCTTTTTCTCACTTGAGTTGATTATCCAGAAAAAGTCCAAACTTTTTGTTTGCCACATGGTCCAGACTCGAAAGGACTCCGTCCGAAACGGCGCGGGACTTGACTGAGCTTTTGGGACCTTAAAAACTTGAGATCCAATCAGCCCTCGAATTGGTGGCAATCGCAGCCGAACCGGTGGTTTTGATTGGTGAAACGGGGGTGGTTTCCCATGCAAACCCTCAAGAAGCAGGGATCTGTTTTTCATCTAAACCCAAACCAATCCAAACCGGGCCAGCAGCAGCCTGGGGCTCCGCTGATTTTTTCACCAGACTGACTGACGCCTTGACGCCTTGCTTGGGCTTTGGGGGACGACTTCGCACCTGATTGGACCACCAATGAGTGGACTAATTCGTGGAAAGCTGATCTAACTTGCACAAGCCGTAGCCATTCGCCAGAACCGCAATATATAGAACGCCTGGGAGAAAACAACCAGTCGGCACTCGGATGTTTGTCTACAGCGAGCCCACCTGGAGACGGGGTAAAAGGCACTAACTATGTTCGAGTACTCCAACCCTTGGTTATCTGGTACTTTGTAATCCAGCTCCTGGTTATTTCCTTGTTTCCAATCCTGTTTTCAGTCTTGGCATCATTGCAACTGTAGATTGTGTCTCGTACCCACCTTGGGAAATGTATGCTGGCTTTCTGAGTGGACTGGCCAAAAACAGCCCAAACTGTTTTTTCACCATCAAAGACCACAATTAAGGCCCAGGAACTCAGGCAGCGAGTACATGTTTAGTGTCTGAAGGCCAAAGCCCGAAGAGAGGCGGAGCCAGGCTTCGCAACAATCGATCCCCCTGATTTGCTTTCGGGCCCCTGGAAAAGATACATACACATATTTCCAGTGATAGATTCCATTTAAGTTTCCAGTAGTGCCATTTGAGTTTGCAGTAGTGATAGATTGCATGCAAGCTTCTAGTAGTGATAGATTCCATTTATTGATAGGTTGCCTTTCAGACCAGGGGAAAATAGAACATGCCCTCCCACCAATTGACATGGAACCTGACGTCCGAAACCCAGTCCCTTTAAAAGGAACATGGTCCAAACCAGGACCCCCCTTTTGCGTCAGATTCCATGTGAAAGGGGTGGGAGGGCATTTACCCCAGTAGCCATGGTTACAACCTAAATTTGGGTTGAGCATTCAATTTGAATATTCCTCCCCCCAATGCCGAAGCTGGGAGGATATTCTTTGGCAACTGGACCGACTCCCTACTAAAAAGGAACAGAACAAAACACCAACTAAAAGACAAAACTAGGTCCTCCAGTAGAGAGGTTAGAAGAAGGGTACCCAATTTTTTGTTCAGGAAGTCAATTTTAGTAGGGGAACCTTCCCCTCCCCAAAAAAAGTTGGGTCAGAAAGGGCACCAATTGCTGGGGCACCTGGCCAATCTATTTTTATCCAAACTAGCGTACCTTGGTACCTTGGTACCTTGGTAAATGGAGCCAACGACTAAAACCCGCGTAACCCTAGCTCTTCAATCTTGAGCCACACCCACATGCCAAGAACAGCGAAGGGATCGAAGTCCTGCAGTCCTGCAGCTGACTGAGCTGCATTTGCACCTCCTCGAGGCGCAAGGCCAGCGTGGCCCGCTCCTCCTCCAGCCTCGGGGGTGGGGGTGGGGAAGTGGGGGTGGGGGGGGGGAAAAAATACATAAAATGGCACTTCTAACATCAAACCCAAAAAATCAAACAGCATACAACAAAATCAGCAAAATTCACAGAAAACAAGATAAGAACCACCAAGCAACTCAAAAACCAGAACAACCCCCAACAAAATATTTAATCAAAGCATAAAACATTAAATAATTCAAACAAGCATACCAACAAAACAGCAAAAATAAAAACCATCAAAGAACACAAACTCAAAAACACACAAAATCAAAAACAAAGCAACATACCAACAAAAAATATCAGAAGAGTATCAAACAAAATAAAAAACAAACAGCCAAAGCACGAAAAAATCAAAAGAGCATGCCAAGTTCAAACAACGCACTTTGAAAGAGACAAGCAAATTAGGAAAAATAAAATATTTCAATCTTTACAAACCATAAGTACAGTATAATTATAACATATAAGATTTTACATGTTATTATTATAGTATGATTATAATTTCAGTACAGGATAATAATTTAATTGATTTGTCTTACTTCTTTCATACATCATTTTAAAAATAATATTAATATCTCTCAATGTATTTTGAATATTAAACTTTTTACTTTCAATAAATAATTTGATACTTTCTTTAACATCTTCTCCTTTCTCTTGACTATATCCCAACATCCATAATATATCATAAATCATTTCATATTTTTTCTTACTGATTTTAAGAAACTGTTTAACATAATCATAAGGTGGTATTTTATTTACAGTTAGAAATATTAAAATCTCATCTTCTACATTTCTATTATGTCTTCCTTTTATTCTCAACAGACATTTGATTAAAAATTGATTATCTCTCCATTCCTGGCAATTTTCACATTCGACTTTTTCATCCATTGAATAATTAATAATATTATTCACTATTTCATTAGGTAAATTTAATTTATACAATTCCATATTTTCTTTTTTGAAGTGACAACAATCATAGCATTTTTTATTGATATAATTATTGATTTTATCACCATTCATTTTCCTCTTATTATATTAAGGCACTATTTCTTTAAGTCATTTTTAAGGCATTAAGAAAAATAAGAAACAAACCATAAGTTCAATATAATTATAACATATAAGATTTTACATGTTATTATTATAGTATTAACTCCAAACCAGAGGTTGCTTTAATTTCAAATGGTATAGACATTCTAAATATATCCACTTTGGATATTAAACATATCCACTTTGGGTATTAAACATATCCACTTCTGGATATTCAATATATCCACTTTGGATATTCGATATATTTCCACTTTGGATATTCAATATATATATTACACATATATATGTATATCTACTTTGTGTATTCAATATATATCCACTTTGGATATGAAATATATCCACTTTGGATATGAAATATATCCACTTTGGATATGACATATATCCACTTTGGATATGAAATATATCCACTTTGGATATGAAATATATCGCTTTGGGGTTCAAATCCATACACTTTGGGGTTCAAATCCATACACTTTGGGGTTCAAATCCATACACTTTGGGGTTCAAATCCATACACTTTGGGGTTCAAATCCATCCACTTTGGGGTTAAAACCCATCCACTTTACAATTCAATCCAGTTTGAGGAAGTGGTAGAGCGGTAATGCTTCAAATCTGCACCTTGCTTTGACATTTCAAAAGAGAGACACTAAAATATCACTAATGAGGTTTTGGGGTATTCTGTATAAGTCTTCCTGTTTATGAAATACTGGATTGTCTCCCCATTCTGCTTTGGTTTTTGATGGCAAGCGTTGGGCTGTTTCAATATGTTTCCCATGAACAACACTCCCACAGTCTTTCTGACATAAGGGTCGGGGTTTCCAAGTTGTAATGTTATTCCATAGCCTAGTGCGTTTTCTGTAAGGCATTCCATATTTACAATAATCTACATCTTTAAAATCAAACTCATCCATAAACTCCTGATTTTTTAATAATCCAGTTTGAGGATTTTCGATTACAAAATACTTAGGATTGAAATATTTGATAATTTCAATAGTTTTTAAGACAATACTATTTGCATATTCGATATTCCTAATTCCCCTAGTTTTTGCAACACTATATTCAGTGCATGGGGGACTACTCCAAATAAAATCAAAATGGTCCCTATCAAATTGTTTATAATCCCATTTCAAAATATCAGTATTTATATCAGCATTTTTCAAATCCAATGAAATAACATTGAAACCGAGCGACTTTGCAACAAGTCCAACACTTCCTGTTCCGCTAAACATCTCTAATAAGTTCATTATTAAAGATATTTAGATAATATTATCTATGAGTAAATGCAACTTTATGAATAAACCCCTGTATCTTCATCATAGTCGATTTGATAAAATGTCATAGTTGAAGCCTTCGGTTCTTTAATTTCTTTGTTATTAAGTTTGTTTAAATACGTTTGTTTCTTATTTTTATATTCAGCACTGGTTCTATCTACTTCTTTACTTTGATAACTGTTTGTTAATGGTTTCTTCTTTTCCATTTCTTGCAAGATTTCTAAAATATTCTTATTCTGTTCTAAAACCTTGTTCAGTTTTTTAACAATCTTTTCTAATCCTTCATCCATGTAAATATATATATATATTATAAAATAAAACTTTTAAAACTAAACTTTTATTTTACAAAATCATATATCATTATAAGTCAATTCAAAATTAGTTATTGTGTAACTCGTTAAATTATTATTCAATTTACCAATTAAATTACAAATAATAGTTTTTCTAAATTTTGAATATTTATGAAACTTTTCAATATTATCTGTAATATAAATTATTAAACATTTAATACATTCAAACACATTAACAACATTAATGTTACTATTTTTGTAAATATTATTCATTTTTCTCAATGTAATTTCATAAAACTGAATAGCATTTTTATTATCATAATTAGCAATAAATCTTAAAGTATATGAATATATTCTTTTACAATAAAATTTTAAATCTGATTGTTCAAATAAATCAGCATAATTAATAGAATTATAAAACATGTTAAAATCAATTTTGCTATTTCTAAAGTCATTAACAAAATTAATTAATATATCATTTTCGTTATATTCTTCAATAAAATTATTCAATTTCAATTCTTTTACATCAATGAATTTAAGAATATTATTTATACCATCTTGCATTATAAATAATAATAGAAATAATTTTAACTATTGTTTTTTCATCATTTCACGAACAGTTTCCTGAGTTTCCTTATCACCATTATCGGTTGGTGATGCATGCCGTCCCCATTTGATAGCAATATTATGAACATCTGTTTCTAAGTTTATACTGTCTTTAGTTTTATCAATATTCATTTTCTTATCATTTCTACTTATTTTGAAACTGGTTGGAATACACGAACATTTACAATGTCCTTTCTTTTGTATTTCTAATTCATTTTTTAATTCTAACATCTTTTTACACATTGGACAAGCAAACTCAATAACTGATGTTTCTTTAACAATTTCTTCTTTTTCTTCATCAGTTGAAGAAACAACTGATTCTGTCTTATTCTTTTTCTTTCTCCCCATCTATATTAATATTTATATTTTTAATATATTGTATCACAAACTTAATTAATTCTAAAACAAAATAGCATACTTTTTTAAATCTATTATCAGTTAGTATTACTTGTTCTATATTTTCTACTTTATCTATTATATCAATATAATCCGAATAACTTCTATTCATATAAAATAATAAATATAAAATATTTTCTAAATAACTTTAATATTATTTTATTATGTCTGATGTTCCAATAATAAAACCAATAAATATAACTGATTACGATTTCAAACAATCTAAATATGAACATGTGCCAAAACTACCTTTTCGCTCAATTGTTGTTGCTTCATCAACGGGTGGCAAAACAGTTTTAATTCAAAACCTTATCCTAAATGTTTATAGGGACTGCTTCGCCCGTATATTCATTTTTAGCCCGTCGGTTCATAATGACCCTACCTTCGTTGAAGTCAAGAAATATCAAAAAGATAATATGAAGGTTGATGATGAAAAAGAAAAGTTATATTATGACACCTACCAACCTGAAGAACTGGAAGAAATAATTAACACACAAAGAAAGATAATTCATTATATGAAAGAACAGAAGATGAAGAAACTACATTCAATTCTTATTGTTATTGATGATTTTTCAGATGACCCTAAATTTTTAAGATATTCAAAAATATTACACGGTTTATTTACACGCGGAAGACATGACGCCATCTCTTGCATATGTAGTCTTCAAAAATATAAAACAATCGCCAATATAATTCGTGTCAATGCCAGTTCATTATACATTTTTAGATTAAAGAATATATCAGAGTTAATGAGTTTTATTGAGGAAAACTCGGCCATCGTTGATAAAGAGCAACTGTTAAATATGTATCATAAAGCGGTAGATGATAAGCCCTACTCCTTCTTTTATGTTAATATGAATTCCAAAGATGTTAATAATATGTTTTATGTTAGATTTGAGAAAGCTTTTAAAATAAAATAAATCTATTATATATTATAGAATGTTAAAAATGTTTCAAGAAAGAATATATGAAGAACCAGTAAGGTTTTTCGGCAGCGATATACCAAAACAGATTCAGGAACACCGAAAGCAAAGACTACAACAATTAGTAGAGTGTGAATGTGGTGAAACTTTTTTAATGAAGGATGCCACTAACCATATTGAAAGTGATTGTCATATTACTTTTAAGGAAGAAGAAAGAATGAGGAAAGAATTAGAAGAACATATTCGTATAGAAAATGATACTGATAGTGATAGTGATAATTATAGTGATGGTGGTTCAACAAGAGTGCCAGATGATTAAAAAATAACTAAATATGTTAGATTTGAAAAAGCATTTAAAATAAAATCAATATTCAAATATATTATGATATTTTATGATTTACCAATAGAAATTAAAAACCTTGTATTATCTTATAATTTAGGTGATGTTAGATTATTTAAAAT